ACCTCCAGAATCAAGTTTTCCTCCCAGCTTTATTGAGATATTAAGGGCATGTATCGTAAGAAAGTTTAAGAGGTACATGTATATACTGCAAAATGATCACCACAATAAGGTTGGCTAACATCTCCATTTCTTCATATTATCATAGTTTATGTGTGTGTGAGTGAGCGAGTGAGAGAGAGAGAGAGGTGATAACACTGAAGTTATATTCTCCTAAATTTTTTCAGGTATACACTACAGCATTGTTAATTACAGTCACCATGCTCTGTATTAGATCCCCAACTCTCATTTTCCTTATAGTTGAGATAGAATAAAGTTTTAAAGTCCCCTTTTTTCAGTCGGTTGGCCCACGGCTCAGTCAGAATTCTGATTTTATCTGTCAGGACTGAAATGTGCTCTGTTTTTCGTAAACAACAAATTATAGCACAGGGGTGGCCACATATGGTGTTCCAAAAAAAAAAAAAAAAAGAGAGAGAGAGAATAAATGAAGATGGGGCATTAAAAGATGGAAATATGTATTTTTGTAATTTTTTGGACTCACGATAGGTGTTTCAACACCAGGAGGTGTACTCAGTGTTAAATCCCTGAAATCAGGAGGTAAAATATCAATTCGCCTAAGTTAATTTCAGCCTTGAATTTTCACTGCAAAGCAAACTGTCAGAAAATTAAGAGTGTCATTCGCCCCTTCCTGAAGTTGTAAAGCACACACTTAATGGGATCACGTGGCAGTGAAAGTCCAGGTCGTTCCACACAGGGAAGACGCTCCCCTCCCTGCTTTCGGTGGCCATCGTGCACCCCTCTTGCTGTTCTCGCCTCCAGTCATATAATCAGCAAAGTCCAGAAAGTGACATTTGCATACCGGCTTCCTGTAGGAAAGCTTTCTCAGTCCTCCTGTCAGCACAAATCTCATTCAATTACGCCAGCCTCAGAATTGCCATTGTACTTCTCAGAAGGCCACTTTCCAGTTTTTCAGTGGCTTTGGACCTGCCACTTCTTTGAGCAACCCTGACTGTAAGAGCATTTACCACTCACCTTCAGCTGTGCCTGGCGCAATTCTCTAGAACTAGCATGCTGTCAATAGGACCGATGCCTTCGGGATGGTGCCCAGACTTACTGAGAAGGCTTTCTAAAACCCAAGCGTGCAAGTGCTGATTTGCGTATGATAAGCCAAGGGAACCTAAGTGCTCACAACCGTGGTGCTGTGAGTGCTGCTTCCTCCTGCTGGCGGTTCAGGAATCAATGGTGATGTTCACGTAGCCAAGAGAGACGTCAGATCGTAGGTGGCTCCAGCTCCCGAGCTGCCTTTTTAATGTATTTGTGTCGATGATGGCACCATTGTTCTCTAGGATACGTGCATCACCCTTGACTCTGCCCTTTTCCTCATCCTTCATGTGCCATTCGTTACTGAGTTGTGTTAACTCTTTCTTCATGTTGTCTCTCACATCTGTTTCTTTGTAACTTCCCACTGCTTTAAAACTCTGGGCAACAAGGTGGCTTGGGTGTAGACCTCAGATTGGTACATCCACCCACTCTGGTACATCTATGAAATCTGTGCATACTTTTAACAGAAGGGAACGAGGTAGTGGCTGGGCTGGTGGCAACAGTGCATAGGAATCCGGTTTCAGGGAGCCGCCATCCACATCCAAGCTGTCCCTTCACAATCCTGGCATTCTCTTTAAAATCACAAAAAATAGGAAGCAGGGAAGGTGGTAACAGTTTAAAAAGGGGAAACACTTTGCTATCGAGAAAGATGTTTTCTGATCTCCTTACCCAATAATTTTCTCTAGTCACAGGTGACTTTATTGTGGAGACGGCCTCCCTGTATTTCCTGGTGAGGTGTTGGAACTGGAAAAGCACAAGCTGGGTCAGACACAAAATCAATATTCTTTGATTCAGTTTCAGCCCTTCGCTGTGGCACTTTTCCCCGTCATCTCTTTCAAGCGGCAATGCCACAAGAAAATCAGATTTTTCTCTAATCAAGTGTAAGGAATGATATTTAGCTTTTTGATAATCAAGGAGCTTCCCAGAACTCAGTGTTGGTTAAAATATTACAGTTGTTCAAATCCTGATTTCATATTGCAACATACCACCAGAAACTTCTTTTGATTGTTATCATTTTTTTTCTTTGGACACTAATACAAAAGTAACTATTTAATAAGCATGTTAAACACAGACTTAGTACTATTAAGCGGAAAGACCTCT